TTTGATCTTAAATTTACTGTTATAAAGGCTTTAATCTATTAGTAGTGTAACATTTATGATGTTTTATGATACAAAAATCTTTGCGTCATTCAGTTTTACATTATAATATAATTTTTCCTTTGCTTTGAAGCATCTCGTATCGAGCAGCAGGAAGCTTGCAGCACCTGGGGAGCATTGCTGGTTAAAGGTCTTGATTGAATCATTGCCTGAATGCCAAACCACTCCCTAACCACTACCATTTAACTATCACATTTTTGCACACTCTACAGATTGGAAATATTCTGTTCTCTAAAAACATTCCTCCTTTTACGGAGCTCCCTAGGGGTTCCCTCGCAAAAGTATTGCGTTACCTCGCAAAAATTTTTGCCTTAACTCGCAAAAGTATTGCATTACCTCGCAAAACCTTTTGGATTCTCACGCAATACATATAACATTACATTTCTACCATAGTCAAGTTTAGACTGATTGTAATATTTCTAAAAAATATATAAAAATAAACAAAAGTGTCCAGTTACGGGGATGCTTTACCTCCTTTGCAGTTTATTAAAGCTATTTAACCATTAGCAATAACCATAAGAACTCACTAGAAGGAAACAGGCATAACAATTGGGCATCGTTATGCATTATTTGCAGTTGATGCATTGTTAGTTTTTACAAACATAAAAAAGTTCAAAGCCAAATTAGTAGAAGTTAACAAGTCATTTGGTAAAATCTCAGGGACTAGATTAAACAAATATAAATGATAAGTAGTTGGGATAAGTAGAATTCTTGAATAGAATATTTGTTTCCAACTTTTTGACCAAATTGTTAAAAATTTCACTTTAATGGCTTCATATAAGATTAGATTTTTTCATGACTTTACTTCAAGATTCTCTATGTACAGAAACTAATTGAAGCTACGGGACATAAAGAAATTAATTTCAGTATATCTGTGAATCTTTCAGAAAAAAAAAAAACACTCAGCAGATTGCTTTAAATTAGCAACAGTGAGAAAAGAAAAGAGGGATTTCCCAACAGCCGAAGGAAGGTGGCAAAAAAATGGATTCCAAGTTCAGTGTGAAATCTATAAAGAGAGACTTTGCAGATATAATTTACAGCTGAAAGATGCAGGCGAATATTAACTAAAACATGAACAATGCTCCCGGCTTATTTGCTATAGTCAACTCTCCTATTTCTGTTGCCGATGAACACACAGTATTAGGTAAGCAGTCTGTACATCACCGTCATCTCCAGCAGGGGCGGATTTAGGAAGTTTGGGGCCCTGGGCAAAGACAGGCATGGGACCCTCTGAATTGAGAAGACAACACATAAAACAGACCTATTATACAGGTACAGAAATTTTAGTAGAATAGACATACATTATTTGTTCTACGTTTTGCCACTCAATAAGACTATTTTCACTTATCTCCTTCCATTGTTTCCAAAAAGGTGACGGCAAAAGTAACTAACACAGTCTGTTTTTTCACTGTAGTCAAGCCATGATCTGCTTATTTGTTCTCCATTTTTAATTTAGATTAAATAATAGCTGCATGAATTATGACAGCAGACAATATAGAGGAGAGCAGGAGGTGTGGTTACCAATCTACTTGCTCTGGAGTGCAGAGTTTGCTGCTTTTATATGTTGTTCCCAAAGCCTCCACTACCAGAAAAAAGTCGCTAGATTTGGCGCTAGGCACTTTTTTAAAATAAAATATCTAGAGGGGTCTGAAAAGTCACTAAATATAACGACAAAAGCACTAAGTTGGCAAGACTGGTCTTTGCACCGTTTTTTTTTTTTTTAATGGTTTGCTGCTGTCTGTTTGGACCTTTCTGAACATTTGCTGCAAATAAGCTGATCCAATATGGTGGATACTTAAGTGTGTGTGTGTGTGTGTGTGTATGGGTGGCCATGTCTTTAATACCTGGTGGGGACAATTTTTTTTAGGAATATGCTACATTTTGGGGACTCATAGGTACTTGTGGGGACCAACAACTGGTCCCCATAAGGAAAGTTTCTCTTCTTGGGGTGGGGGTTAGGTTTA